ACGAATGGCGTGGCGGATGAAACGAAACGGCCCGGGCGCGGCGCCCGGCCTGCGCCGCAGGGGTCGTCGATGGAATTCCAAGAATATGGAGCCGCTCACCGCGAGATGGGCGGCCTCAAATAATCTGGGCCGCGGCGTGCGGCCTGTGCTCTGCGGGATTTCGGTCGAGCTCCTCGTGGGGCCACGAAACTTGCGAACGTTGATCAGGAATGGTCGGGGAGGCGGCGCGCGGTCACATCGCGTCGGCAGGGTTGCACATGGGGCCGCGAACTGCGCGATGGGCGCGCTAGACTGGTCGCGGCACTGGCGCGCGGTGCGCACCACAGGGACTTTCAAAAACAAATCGCTCGGGGACAACGAACAGCGCGCGGCGCGAAGGGCGCGCTGAAATTGCCGTGGCGCGGCCACAAAACGAAGACATACCACGCAATATAAAAGGGGATGGGAGATGAGGAAACGAAGCGGAAAGAAAAAAGAGCAGGAAGAGGAGGGGGAGAAGAGGAGAAGAGGAGAGGAGAGACAAACAGAAGGGATGAAGCGAAAAGCGCAAGCGAGGACCTGACGCGCAGGAGGGCCTGGAACAAAAACGAAACAAATCGAGGGCCGCCCTCGACCAACGCGCGCGCACCACGCGCGCGCCGGGCAAACCAGCGGCAGGCCAAGCACGCGAGGCGCAGCGTGCCGCACCGGGCACAGCACACGCACGAAGCAAAAATCACAAACGTACAAAGCGCGTCAATCAGATAGCGGGATCACCTGCCAACGCGCGCGCGCACGATGCTGGCACCGCCACTCGCTACAAGGAGCCTCCAATCCGCGACGAACCATCGCGAGGCCTCCAAAGGCACCTCGTACTAACTGTTTCTGGACAGCGGTGTTGGTTCGGAACGGGGCCTGGCTCTGGAAGGCGAGCGCGGACACGCAATTCCCTGGCCAGCAGCGGCAGCAGTGAGAGCTGCCGAGCTCGCGCGCGCTACAAACATCGACGGCGCGTGCGGACACGTTGGCATGCGTTGGTTCATCTCGCTTCTGCCAGTGCCCAACAAGGGGCTCAAAGTGTGCCCGTCCAGGGCCCGCCGCGGGCCACGGCCCTCAACGCCCTCCAATGGCGCGGTGGGTTCGGTCCCGATTGGTTGGTAAGCATTGAGTCTTAGGCTTCCTGAGAGGCCTCTTGGGTATCCTGGGAGGCTCCTTGGGCCTCCTGAGAGGCCTCTTGGGCCTCTCGAGGGGCCTCTTGGGCCTCCTGAGAAACCTTTTGGGCCTCCTGGGAAGCCTCTTGGGCCTCCTGGGAGGCCTCTTGGGCCTCCTGGGAGGCCTCTGGGGCTTCCTGGGAGGCCTAATGGGCCTCCTGGGGGGCCTATTGGGCCTCCTGGGATGCCTCTTTGGTTTCTTGAGGCCTCTTTGGGCCTTCTGGGAAGCACCTTGGGCCTCCTGGGAGGCTTCTTGGGCCTCCTGGGAGGCCTCTGGGGCCTCCTCAGAGGCATCTTGGGCCTCCTGAGAGGCCTCTTGGGGCTCCTGGGGGGCCTCCTGGGATGCCTCTTGGGCCTCCTGGGGGGCCTCTTGGGCCTTCCAGAAGGCCTCTCGGGCCTCCTGAGAGACCTATTGGGCCTCCTGGGACGCCTCTTGGGCCTCCTGAGAGGCTTCTTGGGCTTCCTGAGAGGTTTCTTGGACCTCCTGGGAGGCCTCTTGGGCCTCCGGCCTCTTTGGCCTCGTGAGATGCCACTTGGGCCTCCTGGGAAGCCTCTTGGGTCTCCTGGGAGGCTTCTGGGGCCTCCTGAGAGGCCTCTGGAGGCCTCCTCAGAGGCCTCTTGGGCCTCCTGTAAGGTTTCTTGAGCCTCCCGACAGGCCCCTTGGGCATCCTGAGAGGCCTCTTTGGCCTCCTGAGAGGCCTCTTGGGCCTCCTGAGAGACCTATTGGGCCTCCTGCGAGGCCTCTTGGACTTCCTGACAGGCCCCTAAGGCCTCCTGGGAAGCCTCCTGGGAGGCCTGACAACGAGGGCGTGGTGACTGTGATTGAGGCTGGCGAACGGGACGAGGACGTGATGATGATGATGATCATGATGATGATGCTGAGGATGATGCTGATGATGATGATGATGGTGATGCTGATGCTTCTGATGATGATGGTGAGTAGGATGATGATGATGATGCTGATCATGATGATGATGGCGATGACGATGACGACGACGATGACGACTACGATTATGATGGTGGTGATGATGATCATGATGATGATGATTATGCTGGTGGTGGTGCTAGTGCTGATGGTGGTGCTGATGATGATGATGACTGTGATGCCGATGTTGCTGCTGGTGATGATGGCGACGATGATGGTGGCGGAGGTAGTGGTGGTGGTGATGCGGATGATGATCACGATGATGATGATGCGGATGATGATGATGATGTTGATGATGATGATGGTGGTGGTGACGATGACGACGACGACAATGACACCGACGATGATGATGGTGATGGTGATGATGACGGTGGTGACTATGATG